TTTCAGTTACCATAACTATCAACTGTAGGCCTAATGATATTCAAAATCAATCAACTGTAGCTGATAATTGATTTCTGCAATATTAATTTAAAGTAAAGTAACAATCGATGCAAAAGTCTAACATTAAAATGATATCAAAACTAATAAATTATCAACGGGGTTTTTATAATACGGAAATTACCGATTCGAATTGAATGATTAATAATCAACCCAACTTGAGGCATTTAACTAATTGCAGAAATTTAAATTCAAGATCACCGATTAACTATTGACCCTATTTATCAACACCACGGCTCCTCAACTTATAATATATAAGTATATACCAATTTCAGTTAAATAAAAAAATCCAAATTCTTCCACACCTAATCAACTATCCAATGACCTCAATTAAAGTCAAAATGCATCAGTAATATCAAACCAGTTAAAACCGATTTAAAGAAATTATCAACAAAAACTGAAACATGGCAAAAATTCCTCATCTACATTAAACCAAAGCATTTCAAAATTTTGTTCGAATGACTACTCACATATACTCCAAATCAATGCCAGGAAAAATTTTTGACAGTGTTTTAACCAATTAATTAATTAGTTAATTTCCAAATACACCCTCACTACTAGCGGATATTCAGCTTACACTTTGTTTTACACAATTCGCCACTGCTCCCACAACGGGGGATATCTCACTTCACTTGCAGTCGGTAATCCAAAAAACCATACCTACTTAAAAGCAGTTAGTACTACCTTAATTTACACCTCAATTGCATACCCTCAAAATGTCAATTATTCCAAGTAAATGACTTAACAAGACCCACTACGCTATTCCCTGAAAAAACGCATCTTCTACGCAATCCCAGGATCAGTCAGTGATACCCTAAGCTACTCACAACTATTCAGCAGTCATCAACTTATTTACTCCTAAACAAGCTCACATCCACTCAGGCATTATGCTAAGTCCCCTTTCCCTCCCCTCCCCTCCCCTCCATTGTCAAACCCCCATTGAGGACTTTGTTTTTGCCCGCTACCCCACTTACCAATCATAGGCACCTATCGAAGGTCTGCCTGAGGCTCAAACACGGGTTATGCAGGTTTATGCCAAGAAACTGCCTCTCTCACCACCTACACACTCTAAGGCTCTCCGCACACCCACACACGCACACTACATGCCGCCACCTACAGCACCTGCAACTATAGCACTTACACAACCTGCTGCCTTGGCACATGAAAACTATCAGTACCATCTACTCACCCTCGATGCAGGGGTTCATCCTCCTCCTCCCTCCCTCGCGCCCACTCCATCTCCTTCTTCTTGCACCAGTTCAGTCCAGTCCACTGCATTACGTTGCCCAAAGGAAGCCAAAGCAGTCGTCACTTGCACATGGGAGCACTCACAAAGCCTCAATGCTCTCCAGGAGGTGGTCGCTGTTGCCAAAAACAAAACCAGGGGCAATACGTTAGACCGCACACCAACCACCAAGCTCATTAACCTGCAACTACTAGTGGGGATACGTCGTCTACGTCATTATGGCGCAGTATCCACCACACCAACAGACGCTGTGTCCCTCGGTACCGAAAACGCACCTTTACCACGCCACGCCACGCCACGTCATTCCACCAAGTCATTGTGGAGTCCCGCCGAACCAGTCATCCTCCCAAGCCACAACACGACCACCACCATGTCAACTTCACGCATGTCACACTGTTCAATTCAGTCCGTGACGGAGATCACGAAGGAGAAGTGGAAGAAGAAGACGCTGAAGAAGACACAGCAAACTCATCCACCTAAACCACCTAATCACAATATCAAATAACACTGCATACCACTGTCTGGACTACCAGCGCCAACGCAACCGCACACCAGATCGAACACCGTCACACTGAAGCCTCCTCCACTTTCACCTCCACAGCCTTCTCAATCCACAACCAATCAAATTGCTCAGCCAATTACACACTCCCATCTTCTCATGAACAACCACTCACAACCTGCGAACCACTGCGTG